TGAAATTCCAGGAAACCCTTGGGACATTGTGGAAATTGTACAGATTCACAACTGAGCAGACACATGCTGATTTACATCCCTGTCCACTCCCATGCAGCATTATCTAGCTCATATAGCTATATAGCTCCCATGATGTTAATGAAGTAAGCAGTAAGTGAGTTTTCTGAATTAGAGTAGAACGTCTTCCCCTACGTATCATCAACAGTCTTCAACTCTGCTGCATTTGAACAGGTACTATATCTTTCTCTCCTATCATGCCCGGAGGTTAATTGCCAGTTACAAACATAAAAGAACATTAGCATGAAAGTTCATCTGAGTTGGTAAATTACATTATGAAAAACTTAAACTTTTATCCAACTCAAAATTTGACTCAGAAATTTTCAACTGAATCACTCATTCTTCCTGACCCAAATGCTGTGGACACGTGATTTTTCCCACGTGTGACGTAGGCAAAGGGTCAAAGGTTGTCTGAAGTCGATATCGCCCCCGTCCCGGTTGAGCGATGGTTGAAGTGCCCTGATGTATATGGCCTCTGAGAAAGACTCAGTGATTCAGTTGAAAATTTCTGGTGAGTCAAATTTTGAGTTGGAGAACAGTTTAAGTTTTTCATAATGTAATTTACCAACTCATATGAACTTTCATGCTGAATTAACACACTGTTTTCAGCTGACCTACTGGATGTAGAGCTGATCACCACTGTAAGGGACACTCCCTGTCCATGTGACACGTGTCCCGGGAAGAACGACGGTTACAACATCGCAGTCGCACTCATGAAGAGGATGGCAACAACTGGCTCTGGAGCGTAAGTAAAAAAACAACAACTTAAAAAACCTTGTCCTGCGGGACCCATATATATATATATATATATATATGGTTGCACATACAGTATCATCTATATAGCACCCTGTATATGTACAATTTGGGAGTATTTCTCGTGCAACGCATCACACCGCAGCGAAACGCAACAAATGCGGAAGTAACTACGCCAGCGCAGGGCAAAAAAGTCAAGGGTCTATGAGCTGTTTAAGACATCAAATTATTTGTCAAAATATTGTGTCAAAATTGCCAGCAGGACAAGGGTTAATACAACGTTAAAGTGGTGCACAACATATTTGGTACATAAAAGTATATTGTAAGATTGAACCTGTACTACTTACAAAATAATAAAAGAAGTTTATTGCAAACCTATGCCCGAAGGCTACTTGCAAGATACAAACATAAAAGAACTGTTAAGAACGTTGAAACAGAGTATAAAATAGCTTCAAAATGTACATAATGAAAGCTAAATGTCTGAAACTATTGCTTTGTCTAAAACTATGTCTGAAGGGTTTGACTTCTCTTCCGTAAACCATGGAAGATAATACATACGGTTAATTTAACAATAACAGTCAGTGGTTTCTAATGTGATATTTTATTTATTTATTTATTTGTTTGTTTGTTTGTTGCTTTCATTGTTTACAGTTCATCGACACAAGTAAGGGCTCAGGGCTTCGCCATGTACTTGAGAGCTGTCGCATGGGATTATGGGAGATGTGACGAGGGCGTGGTCATCCTGGTCTCTACGGAAGACAGACAGGTGAGGTGGACACGTGATCCGGTTGCCATGGTAACGTCCAACGGTTTCAGTCACAGATTTAAGTGTTCCAAAGTTCAGTATTAATTTTCAAGAGATGGCAAAAGTAAAATTAATCTATCCGGAAACGACACACACACACACACACACTCGCGCTGCCACCCAATACAATACTTCCGCAAAATACTAAACCCAGAAGCAGTCAGAATACCTGTCTACGTACCTGCCTAAATGCTTAGGCCAGAACTCATTTTTCCCGCCAGGCAGCACGGTCCTTAGTCTTTTGTTCAGCAAACTTGAGGGACCATCCTGTATCATATTCTATTTTGTTCC